TAATATATATTTATTACCTAAAACAACATAAAAACAAACACCACCAGTGTGTATGCATGTTTTTCAAACTATATGTTGCAGTATTTAGAGTACAAAGCAAAGCTAGATTGAAGATACTAATCCATGATAATGAAAAAAAAAGCCTTTAGAATACACAAATGTACTTTTCAAAAAAGTTTTCCATAATCTATAAGAAGTACCCAAACCAAATGGATGGTCTAATATGTCTTTACCACATTCAATGTTTTATTAACTATATGTAATTACCACATTTAATCCTAATTTGTTTCATATCAATTTCAGTTGACAACAATACCAAGAAAATTGTCCATAAGCAACACTATAAAAAACACTGCAACAACATTTTTTTTTCGAAACTAGGTAAAATGTACCAACTCATGCACTCTTATTATACATGCTCCCAATTATGATATTATGTTACCTCAAACATTACTAGTTCACCAACAACATTTCCGTGCGTATTATGTCTAAGAATTTGTTTAATTTAGGATTGTTTAATATATGGTTGCATTGGATGATAAGAATTGTGAATTGGTTTTGGTGAATTATGTGTACTGTGATTGTCCTATATTGCGATACTTAAAAAGTTTTGTCTAAATGAGATGATTTGAACTATAAATTTGGTGATTTGTTTATAAAAAGTGTTAGATGATTGGTTTTAAGCCCAACTCAACCTCACAAAACCGGCTTGTAGGGTGAGGTTTGCACCCACTTATAAAGTATATGAATTGACTTTATCTCTAGTCGATGTGGGACTTCCAACACACTCCCTTCACGCTGAGGTATAGACATCTCGTGTGTGATAGTAGAAATTAATGGGTGGTCCGATAGCGGCCCGACAACGAGTGGAAACATAAATGCCCACTTAGAACTTGCTAGGATAGACTTTAACCATGACTCTGATACCATGTTAGAAGGTGGGTTTTAAGCCTAACTCAACCCCCACAAAACTGGCTTGTAAGGTGAGGTTAGGATAGGCTCTAACCATGACTTTGATACCATGTTAGAAGTGGACTTTAAGCCTAACTCAACCCCACAAAACCGGCTTGTAAGGTGAGTTAGACTTAAAGTCCACTATTAACATGGTATCAGAGTCGTGGTTAGAGCTATCCTAGCAAGTTCTAAGTGGGCATTTCTGTTTCCACCCGTTGTCGGGCCGTTGTCGGACCACCATTAATTTCTACTATCACGCACGAGATGTCTATACCTCAGCGTGAAGGGGGTGTGTTGGAAGTTCCACATCGACTAGAGATAATGTCAATTCATACTTTATAAGTGGATGCAAACCTCACCTTACAAGCTGGTTTTGTGGGGTTGAGTTAGACTTAAAGTCCACTACTAACATGGTATCAAAGTCATGGTTAGAGTCTATCCTAGCAAGTTCTAAGTGGATATTTCTGTTTCCACCCGTTGTCGGGTCGTTAGAGATAAGACCAAATTATAATATATAAATGAGGTGCAAATCTCACCTTATACAATTTATGCGTTGTACTTATAATTCAAAGTTAGCATACCGCTCAACACCATCTTGATAAAGAACATCAGGAGCCATCTATTTAAAATATATGTATAATCCTTTATTATTGTCATAAATAATGTGTATATGTATATAAATATGTGTGACATTTTACTATGGTCATAATGTCGAATTATTCGTAAACTTTTAATGGCTTTATCTTACCTTATTTTGTATTTTTATTTGTGTGTGATTTTATTTTATGTTACTCATGTGAGTAAAAAATACTAGCGCAAAAACAACGCATAACGTCACGCATTCAATGTTCAACTACTGAATAACCAACGTTAAAAATGACCGATGAAACTACATTCAATTCGACGTTCTATGATGGTAATTATATAAATCAACACGTCATTCTCTTTCTTCTTTCTTTTAAACCACATATATTACGTCGAATTTTGTAGGAGCTTCGATATATTATTTGTCAGCCAAAAGTTTCTTCTTTTTAATTTGAGCGGGAGATTGAAAATTCATTCACTTTATCTTAAGGTGCGAGACCCTCTTCTCTTCTCAAACTTTTCTCGAACGAAGTTTGACGACCATCACATGTAATCTTTCTTTCATTTGATACAAATGCAGGTTAATTAACTACTTTATGTATAATATTCGTTTATTTTGACCTATTATTTTTTTGTTCTTATCCTTCATAGGCGCATTTTGCTTTCTTTCTCACTGGTAGAAACACTTTATTCCGACGAACCCACCTCTTGAAGGTTAGTTTTCGTTTTCGTTTTCATTTTGAGAAACTTATTTGTTGAACTTGTTTGTTGTTGTTTTTTGTTGAACTTGTTTGTTGTTGTTGTTTGATTGAACTTGTTTGTTGTTTGTTATTGTTGTTTGTTGTTGATATTATACTACACGTTCATAGTTCATGCTTTATAAAATACCAAAAACTGAAATTTATTGTTTTTCTGCTTTTCAGGTATCGTAGAGTTGTAAAAAAAGATTACAATTAATTAAAAAAATTGCTTAACGTCGAATATTAACAAAATTCGATGTCAATTTGATTAACGTTGAATTTTTTAAATTCGACGTCAATTTAAAGTCTTTCAATATGATGTCGACCTCGAATTGAACGTGAAAGGCAAAAAAACAACAATATTGTACAATATTTTTGTACTAGTAAAAAGAAACACGTATTGATAAAAACGTTAGATTGTCTAAACACTAGACGACCAATATGATATATGTTGAAAATACTATATTTATATTTTCTACTAGTCTTAAGTCTTATTTGATGTTTAGAAAAACAAATGAATATTTTGGAAGATTGTACTAAATATAACTCTTTATTTTTTTGCCATATATATTATATGCTTTAATACCAAATCGAAGTACCTTGTTTATATACGGTGGTATACTGAAAAACTGGATTATTGCATTTTACAGTCGACAATCTTAAAAACATTTTTAATAAATTAATATAATTTTTAATCCATTAAGCAATGCTACACAATTCAAATTTCGGCCAAAATAATTCAAAATTCTATGCATAATACAAGATAAAAATAAAATAAAAATATCAATTACAGTACATTTAACACATAAATTACAACCTAATCTCAAAATCAAACTAAAAATAAAAATTGTCATCAACTTCCATAATGGTAAACATTTCGAAATAAATAAAATTTACATTTTAATCTTTCTCAACACCTTCTTTTCATTAGAACCCAACACATAACTAGATATAACTTGTCATCAAGGAGAACGAGATTCTATCAGTCCATGATTTAACTTCTAATGAGGTAATCTTTTCACTTACTGGTCAAATTTTGTTCTTCTTAAAAAAATCAAAACATTTATTTTTGGTTCTTTTACTTTTACTTTGAATGTTTATGGGTTTTGACTATTGATTTTTGTATAGACTTTGCAGAAATCAATATCTTTTCCACTTGGGATTCCACTTTCTCCTAGGATTTTTGTGTGGTTGATTTTGAAGAGAAGTTAATGGCTCTCACTTTAGTTGATGGGTCTCTATTTATTGTCCATTGACTTCCATTAACAATAGATAATTGGTTTACTCGTAGGATACAACTTAATGAACTATTTCTCAAAGCATATATAGAAAAAAAAAAGGTGGAAAAAAATAAAAACAAAAATATATAAGAAATTGGAACAAAAATAGATTATTTAATTCAAAAGTTTTACAAAATAAATAAAAATATGTGATGCATACTATAATGAATATAGATCTCACATTTTTTTAAATTATTTCCACTTTCTGTTCTAAACACACCAATTTATACTACTTTAGACAATATTAAAGACAAATTTTAATACATTTAATGGGTTAAAAATAATATTTGTATTGAGTTAATATACTAAATTAATGATAAAAATATTTCGAAATATTTTAATAATATTTTTTTCTTATGAAATAAATATTAAATTATATATTTGATTATTTAATAATAAAAATATTAATACGTATTTACAATTAGTTTTATTCTCGTACCTTACTCATTGTTTTGTTTACTAAAATTAATAGTTAATGTTTTTATATTTTAATTTAATTATTTTATACTTTTTACCACGTTTAACATGTTTCTAAATTTCTACAAAATGATATAGTTTTAAGCTTTGTTCACTTGAATGAATTTCACGGAGAGTGATTGAGGACATTTGAGAGGTCTTAAGGTTAATTTTTTTTTTGTTTATTTGAGTGAATTTGGAGGTAAATGAGACTGGATTTCGAAGTAAATTTTTTTAATCTGTTACGTCAATAAATCCTACACTAATTCTCACAAACTTTACTTCGAAATTGACTCTCACTTCCCTCCAAATCCACTCAAATAAACAACAACAAAATTTACTTTCAAATCCTCTCAAATCCCTTCAATCAAAAATACAAATGATTTTGGTCCTTCGTATTTTTCAAAATTAATTAACTATTTTTTCAAAGAGAGATTGCGTGAAATATTTAATTGAAATTTACTAATGTCTATGATATAATATTAATATGTGATATTTAGTTCAAAGTTTGGAAGGATAATAGTTTTTCTTTTAAATTTGTGTATAGTAAGTTTTGCATACCATAACAACAATCTCCAAATGTCTATAAGGATGAAAGAAAATTAGAGACCAAAATGAAATTTCATTAATTTCATAGAAACTTAATTTCTAAAAAATTTATTTATAAATATTTTTGGAAGAAAACTTAAAAAGTCATAATTTTCACAAATTATAGGGAAAATATTTTAAAATTTAGCTTCTTCATAACTTAAATTGTGGAAAAAACATGATTTAATTCAATTTAAAATATAATTTTTAATATTTTCATACATAGGTAATTAAATGATAATAATTCACAAATTCTTATTATATTTTCTATTATGAATGCATGAGAAAAAATAAATAAAAGAAAGCGACATGTGAAACGGGGTGTTATGTTATTGAATTAGTTTATAGTTATTGCTCGATAACTGAACCTATTATTTAATTCTATTTAACTTGTCCAGACAAAATTTCTCGTGACCGGACACACCACACATCACAACATAACACAAATATTGCTTTCTTTTCCCATCGCCATTTAAGGGTTTCAAAGTTTCACTTTCCCTTTCTTCCCTCTCACCTTGCATATCTCATTTTCCTTCAATCCATGCCTTTTATTTTCGCTTTCTTTCTCCAATTCGTCTAATTTCACCATCGTTCGACGCGGTACATTTGCTTTTCTCTCTCCACGTTTCTTCCTTCAATGTGCTCTGCACCTGCCATGTCGTTTTAGCGGTGATTTTTTTTTTTTTTTGTGAATTAGGGAAGTTTTCCTCTTTTGTGGTACCGTTGTGTCGAGTTTGGGTTTGGAGCTCGAATTTAGTAGGACTGGAATGCTCGATTTGGGGTATTTTGTTTCGAAAATAGAAATAATGAATGTGTGCTCTGTTTTCGGTTTTTGGTTGTTTGGGTGGAATGTTTGATTTTGTTTTTGATTCTGTGAGAAATAGAAGGAAACATGGGAACTGCATCTTGGTTTATGATTCTAAGTTGTTGTTTATGAAGTAAAGATTTTGGGGCAATTTTTCGTGGAGAAAGAAATGCAGTTATAATCTTATTTAGGGATTTAATGTTTTGCTTTATAAGGAGGGTAGTAATTTTTCATGTATGCTTATAGCTTGATTTTTGGTTAGAACCGAGTACATTTGGCTTGTGTTTTTAATAATTGTATTCAGTTGTGTTCATTTTGAGTGGATTGTGCCTCCCCTGAATTCAATCTAAAAATTTCCGTCTGGAGTGGCGGTGGCATTGATGACATGTATGGTTTCAACCTGTGTCTTTGTATTATAATTGGTTGTTTAAACACCGGTACTTATGGCTTATTGCGTATGTCTTTCCTCCTTGGTGTTTGTGGAGCGAGTTTTTTTAGACTATTATTTGCGTATATCCAGTTTTTCTATTGATGAAAATTTTAATCCTAGTTACATTCAGCCAAATGCTAAGTTTTAGAGTGCACCATTGTGATTAAGCCAAGCATATGCCTATATTAGACAGTTTAGTTTTTCCCAACTTCGATGGCTGGATTGGAATGAAATGTATTTCTTTAGATTACAATAATTGAGTGCAATTGAACACTGTAAGTTTTTTTTATCTTTCTTTGTTTTAATGTGTTATGAGTTAGTCATGAGTTGATCAGCATTTCTATTTCTTTGGTCCATGGCCTGTCATAAAGGAATGTCCAAAGAAGTTATATAGCTGTAATATTTTGTAAGACTTTTGGATGATTAAAAACGGTGGAGCTCAATCGTTCATTGACTAAGCTACTAAAGTAGTGCCATTAATACTTTCATAAATTTCTTTTCACCTTTGGGAGGGGTAGTTATCTCAGGAGGGATAGTTATCTCAGGCGGGGTTGGCCAGTGACCAGGCATTTTACATTTATGCTAAAGGTGAGTTCGAAAGAATTAACAAAGATGCTGCATACGGAACTTATTTTTGAGTGAACGTTGCAAATAGTACATGATATAGACTCAGATTTATAGTAATACACTTTACCACTCGGGGAGTTCTCATTCCTAAAGTTGTAGATTTCTTTTGATCAAGTATGGCTTGAGTGACCTTCCTTGTGTCTTGTTTTCTTTATTATCATTGACGTTGAGCGAAATGAATACATGAGAGGAGTTTGCGGGTTAGGTCCCTGTTACGTAGTTGAACCTGCAATTCATGCTGGGAAGGGTGGTGATTTAGTTGGTCTAGAAGATTTATGCTGAGAATATTATTACGCGTTACGGATATAAACTGCATTCTCTTTGTTCTTAGTGTCAGACTGAAGAAAACAATTGCTCATTTTACCCTAGGATTGCAATTACTGAACAACTCAATTGATCTATTGTCCATAAAACACCGCTTGTCCATTTTTTCTTTTTGCAAATGCACTAGCATCTTCCCCTGCACGCATGCCTTTTGACATATATTCGAGGACAAATGATTTCTTATTGTTGTTTGAGTCGGTTTAAATTTGGCTTTAGATTTGATGTGCGTTTGTGATTACAATGCTTGTTTGCAAATGTTGCCTCAGATTAACTAATAAACCGGCATCAAGTATATGCATTAAAAGCTGCTCTTTCTTCAGGTATATTGGAATCTCACCTGGGTTCTAATTGATGCATTCACACCGTTAGCAGTTGGATTTCAATTCTAAGATGAGCAATTCTCACTCTGAAAATCATGCAAGTGATTTATTCTTTGTAATTTCATCTATTAGTTAGTTGTCTGTAGTAGCCTAGTTGGTCTGAAAGATAGAATTATCTATATGCAGGATGAAGCAACTGTGGTGGGATTTGAAGTTCCAAAATCACCTGAATCCAGTTACAACAATGTCTACCCTGGAAATGAAGATGAGGCAAGGGATCCGCCTATGGTGCCTTCACATTTGCAACACACTTTGCTCAATTATCCTGCTACCAGAGACACTGCAGGAACAGTTCCATTGCCTCAGAACGTGATTCTAAATCATCTTTACATCGAGAATAGAGAGTCCCCAAGATCTGTGGTGGCTTTGGGATTCACTCATCGTTTCCGTTCTAAATATGTTACAGTCGTCCTTTACAAACCAGTCCAAAGAAGGGGAAATACAGGCATTTAATGTTCATATTCGAAACTTAATCACCGACGACTGTTTGTAATGATTTATTGTAGACTCAATATTCCAATTACTGGAAATGATATTTTAATGAACTTAAGTAGATTATTTCTTGGTAATTTAACTGTATATTTGTTTGTAAATTCGTTTTAACCTTGTGGCACAATTATAAATAATAAGTTTTGGATGATTTGATGGGAATCTGTTATATATATATATATATATATATATAACAGATGTTTGAAACTGGAATAAGAATTCAATATCAACTATTTCTAAAACACCCGTTCCATTAAATTATTATTACATATGTTGATATATATACTCTTTCATTTCATTTGCATTTTAACCCAGCTTATTAGTTTTAAAATAATTGTCTATTTTATTCTATACTTATTTCAGGCTTTTGAAAAGGTTAAAGTATCCAAAGTATCTTGCACAAACATTCTTCTCTATCTTCTATTAATGTTGACAAAAACAGGTACTCATAGAACTGAAAGAGCATGCTCCTATGAATATATTTTTAATATTCATAAATGATCCTTGATTTTAATTTGGTGTTCTTACTTATGATAAATTTAGTTTAGTGTAACTTTGTTTTAAAGTTTGGTTCTTGAATAGTTATATTAATAATGTTCGTTAGATGGTTTTGTGAGATAACATTTATGCATTGATGAATAAAAGTAAAACTGACCAAAATATTACATAATCATTTTAAAAGTGATGCATATTTATATTTATTTTATAAGACTATTTAGGTACAATATAATAATTTATATTTATTATTTTTAATTTTTATAACCTCAAAATATAAGTGAACTTAAATTTTAGGTTAAATAAAAAAAAGTTAAAAAAATTCATAAATTAATTATGTTAAATTGAACTTATCACAATATATAGCAATATTTTTATTATACAACACTCCAAACTCAACAAGCTAAACAATACCCACGTAACTTATGATATTACTGCTAATCATAAATAGAAAAAGTGGATTGAACTCGCCAATCCATATAACAAATGTAATGTGACCCAATTTGATGTCTAGGGTGTTGCTCCCTCCACCACCCTAAGTGCTCCTGCACCTTTTTACTATTTTCTTTTATTCTAAAAATACTCTACACCTTCCCATTATTTTCTTTTATTCCAAAAATACCCTATACATTCTCACTATATTCAACAATCTTTCTCTTTCTCTTTCCACATTATTGAAGCATTCACATGGCTCAGATTTAAACTTGTGATATATTACAAAATTTTATTTACATTTTCCCTTAAATAAGTTTGATTCAATCTTATTTTCACTGTTCAATATTTTTTTTTCTTCAAATTATTTAATAAATGGTAAAATTTTGTTCTAAATTTCTAGAAAAATGTTTATATATGTGTGTGTTTTTTTACATTTAATATCTATAATTTTTAACATTATATTATGTTTTAACTTACTGACATGTTTGACTCGAATAACTTGAATAAAGTATTTAATTTATTAGATAAATAATATAAAAATATTATTAAATACTTAAAATATAAAAGAAAAGTTATTTGTTAAAGATTTAGAATTTATTTAGTTCTTTCGTCATTATAAAGTTAGTATATAATAATAATAATATATTATTTACTATTAATATTATTATATTTATTATTTTGTATTTGCATCTAACTTTTAAGTTTATAAAATGGAAGTGGTAGAAGCACTAATATTGAAGTTTCCTCTGAATTTTATATTTTGCAATATATTACAAGTTTAAATCTAAGTCATACGAATGTTCCATTAATGCAAAAAGAGAAAGAGAAAGATTGTTCAGTATAGTGGGGAGGTGCAGGATATTTTTAGAATAAAAGAAAATAGTGAGAAGATGTAAAGTATTTTTGAAATAAAAAAAAATAGTGATGAGGTACAGAAGCACTTGGGGTGGTGGAGGGAGCAACACCCTGATGTCTAGTAACATGTGTAAACATCTTTCTTAACTTAAGACATGCTATAAAAAAATCACTTTTTCTTTTTGTAAATTTTTTTAATTATAAGTTTTTAATAATTTGTATTTTCAAAAAATCACTTTCGTACTTTAGGCAACATATACGAATATATTGGAATGAAATGACATATAAACACGTGTTTAAAACGTAATACGGAAAAGGTATAAGATTATTATAATTGATGTAAAAAAGACATATAAATTAATAATAATAAATATTATTATTATTATAATGCTTAATGGTGGATGTTGAACAATATTGAAAGAACTCTAGGTGATCCTGAAAGGGTGGGACGCTTATATATACGGACTGTGTTGTTTGTGTTAATTAAATTTATTTTATAATATTTTTCTAATTAGCTGCTTAAAATACCTTGTTTATTATCATGAGAGGTACTTTTTTAATCGATAACAGTATATATATCTTTATTTTCTTTGTTCACCATATTCATTATTTTTTAAATATTTTTTTATTGAGATAAAGTTAAATTATGTTACTTGATTTTATAAAAAAATATGACAATTTAAATTTATCTTTTAATAGGATATTAAAATTTATTATAATAAATTATTTACAAAAATTTAGTCATACACGTGAAAAAGGTATATATGACTTTCCCGGAATAAATGTATGAAAAATCCTTCACTTACTATATATAAAATCAAATCATAATATATGAATAATATTATCATATGTTATTAACTATTGTCTGATCGAGTCATTAAGATGATTTGTAAGTATTTTGGTGTACTGAATTTATTATTATAAACTTTCATGTTGGTGAACAAGTTGAAGTGGGTTTTTCACATATTTATAATAGAAACATGAGTGTATAAGAAATTGTGTTTAAGTGAAATTGAAATTGGTATATATTTAAGAGAAATATGAATGAATGATATGGCCATATAGTTATTGTTTGACTTTCAACTCGATTTGCTGTGGGCCCAAAGTTGTTAGTAGAGAAGCTACTTCTTCTCTTCTACTTGTCAACTCTGTAACACTACGTCACTGAAACATATTTAAGTTTGGTTTTTGAATATCAATTAATAAATTTGGTCAGATGTTCTCACACTTGAAAAAAGAAGTGCAAATAAATAAATAAATAGCTGCATTCTCACCGGAAAAAAAAAATCATTTTTTTATATTAATTTACTTCCAATTCTAAAAAACTGCATAAGTATTTTATAATGTTATCTAATTTGAGGAAAAATTATATTATTTATATCATATTTGTGAGTTTTTTTTATTGGATGTGATCCATATAACTAATTATTTTGATTAATCTTTAATAAATCACACTATTTAGTTGCACATCATGATCTTAAATCAAACCAATCAACATTGTTTAGATGTCTATTCTGATAGACCAACATGTATTCGATCAAAACATTTTGATGTTGACCATATCTCATAGTCGAGTACTTGTAACTATATCACTTAAATGTATTTTAACACTGTTGTATAATAAATAAGAAGAAATTGAAGGATGTAAATGGGATAAAAGCAACACAATAATGATTATTTGGTATAAGAAAAACTATGTCTCGATTACATATAATTTTTAAAAGTAAGTTATATTTTCTTTTTTCTAAATTTTGTGTATCCTCATGAAAGCATTTTAGACATTTCCGATTACCTTCGATTAGGTTGCGGTTTGTGTGCGTATTCACTTCTATATTTAAGTTACCATATTTTGGGAACAATCTTCTTTGACACAAAATTGAACATTCGTTCTTTATGAATATTTTGATTTACTTTGTCGTGACAAACTAATTCATTTTACTTATCTAACAGGTTGCTTGTCTTCTGTTCATGCTACATAAACTGATTTTGCTACTGAAGAGGAAGTATATGTGCCACAAAATGTATGAAAAATGGTTTTTTCTTAGATTTGTTCTTCAGGTTCTCCCAAATATAAACTGGACATGTTTGATTTTAACCATATTCATCCTATTTCTAAACTAAAAAAATTATTTTCGTTTTCATCCCCATCAAGTATGTATTACTATTTAATCTCACCAGTGGGACCCCTATCCGAGTTTCTACCTATATTATCTCAAATATTCATTAAATAACCTTTTTAACCAAAAATATAAATCATAATACGTAAAAAAGTGTGATGTTATGAAGAATTTAATGTCATTCACTTTTCTTTAATGTGAAATTTTAAGAAAAAAATTATAACTAAATCTTAAAGTAAAACATAAAGTAACATTGGCATATAATTATAGAGAAGAATACTCGAAATTTCACAACTACTTCAACGTCTATTATTATTTTTTTCTAATATTGAGAGCGAAATTACTTTAAGATTCAAATACACCTGATATATCAAATGTGTCAAAGAGTTGAGAGAAAATGAAAAAAAAGTGTAATGAAAGAAGTTTTCTTCAAATAAAACAAAACTAATAATTTTGGAGAGAGACATTATAGATTACCTAATAAACTAACTAAGGATTTATACAATTGATTATTTGAAATTCATAGTCATCTTTTATTATGTGACAAAAAAAATAGAAATAATCAAATGGATACTCTATAACGATTTAATTTTTATAAAATTGATATTTATATGTTTCATAAAGCAATCTTTCATTTGAACAAAACCATATAAAGAAAAACAAATCGTGTAAATGAGGTTGTAATGAAGAGGAAAATAGTTAGAGGTATAATTAGTGAACTTAGATGTTAAATGTGTTAACCAATTGAGAGAGAATAAAAATTGTGTAATAATAAATAAATAAATAAATAAACTCTTCAAATAAAAAAGAAGAAGCAGCAAAACACTAGATGCAAATAAATCTTAGATTGTCTATTAAATTAAAAGTATTTTAACAATTTGACGAACATCGAGATGGGAATAGTTACTTATTATCATATCAGATTTAAAAGATTAAGTAATATTGAAATCTGTATTCAAGGAATGCAGAGATTTCTAGTAAAAGTTGAGACAACTTTACATAATATTAGCGACCGAGGTTAACCCAAAAATCAATCAGAATGGTTAAGTTAGAGGCAAAATTGGTTGAATAATAAAACTATTTAAGTGCTAGTGTTATAATTTAACAGCACATGTGCCAGAGTTGATTATACGTCACATGAACCTTTGAGACATAGCATGGGCTCTTTTACGTATATACGCGGCAAAATGGATTACCTGAAATACAGTTTTCTTTAATGTTTAAAGCTTTGCAGCCGTTGGGAATCTCATTGGCTCTTAGCGGATAGTCAACGACTTCAACACTACTATAAATACAACACACTCCTTGTCTCTCCTTCACAGCATCACCATCACATCTCAAACCAACTGAGTTTTTTCTCATTCAAGACAGTGTTAAGGTCAAATGGGTGATATTGAGGGATCTCCGGGAAGCTCCATGCATGGAGTGACAGGGAGGGAACAAACCTTCATTGCCTCAGTGGCTTCCCCTATGGTCCCAACTGACACAACGGCAAATTTTGCTTTGCCAGTTGATTCTGAGCATAAAGCCAAGGTTTTTAAACTGTTTTCCCTGGCCAATCCCCATATGAGAACCTTCCACCTCTCTTGGATATCCTTCTTCACATGCTTTGTCTCAACCTTTGCAGCAGCCCCTCTTGTCCCCATCATTCGAGACAACCTCAACCTCACCAAGAGTGACATTGGGAATGCCGGGGTTGCTTCTGTCTCGGGCAGCATCTTCTCCAGGCTCACAATGGGTGCAGTTTGTGACCTCTTGGGCCCTCGTTATGGCTGTGCCTTCCTCATCATGCTTTCTGCCCCAACTGTCTTCTGCATGTCGTTTGTGGATGACGCTGCAGGATATATAGCAGTGAGGTTCATGATTGGGTTCTCCTTGGCCACTTTTGTGTCATGTCAGTACTGGATGAGTACCATGTTCAACAGTAAGATTATTGGGCTTGTGAATGGGACTGCTGCAGGGTGGGGAAACATGGGTGGCGGAGCCACTCAGCTCATAATGCCCTTGGTCTACGAATTGATCAGAAGAGCTGGAGCTTCTCCCTTCACTGCCTGGAGAATTGCCTTCTTCGTTCCAGGTTGGTTGCATGTCATCATGGGGATCTTGGTCCTAACCCTAGGCCAAGATTTGCCTGATGGCAACCTTGGTTCCTTGCAGAAGAAGGGTAATGTTGCCAAAGACAAATTCTCCAAGGTTAGCCTCCTTGTTCTTTATATGTTTTCATCTCTCGGTAACTGTAAAATTCTCACATCATTTTTATTTTCTATTTTCAATCACTTATATAATCTGATTTCACTGTGGAAATAGAAAACGAAAATGAATTTCTCCTTCTTTGCCTACGACTAGTGACCGTAAAAACATTAATCGGACAAAATTGGTCAAATTTTTGGGAAGAAGAAGAAAGACTTTTTCAAGCTTTAACTCATTATCTAACTTGACTTTATTTTGTGTTCAGGTGTTATGGTATGCCATAACAAATTACAGGACATGGATTTTTACCCTCCTCTATGGGTACTCTATGGGAGTTGAATTAACCACTGATAATGTTATTGCTGAGTATTTCTATGACAGGTTAGTTCATTCATCATCGAACTCATACATAATATCCCCCACTAACTAATTCTCTCTGATGAGATCAAAGAATGAATATTAAACAAAATTTATATTTTTATTTAATATAGTTTTTATAATAACTATCTGTTTAAGTAATTGGTTAATTTGATGTAAACAGGTTTAATCTGAAGCTACACACTGCTGGAATCATCGCTGCTTCATTTGGAATGGCAAATCTCCTGGCTCGTCCCTTTGGTGGATACACTTCTGATGTTGCAGCCAGGTTGTTCGGCATGAGGGGCAGGCTTTGGAACCTGTGGATCCTCCAAACCTTAGGAGGTGTTTTCTGCATATGGCTTGGTCGTGCCAACTCACTTCCCATTGCAGTCTTGGCTATGATGCTCTTCTCTATTGGCGCTCAAGCTGCATGTGGTGCCACTTTTGGCATCATTCCTTTCATCTCAAGGCGTTCTCTGGGGATCATATCCGGTCTAACTGGTGCAGGTGGCAACTTTGGCTCTGGTTTGACCCAGTTGATCTTCTTTTCAACCTCAAGGTTTTCTACATCCACTGGTCTCTCCTTGATGGGTGTCATGATTGTGTGTTGCACTCTTCCTGTGACTCTTGTTCACTTCCCCCAGTGGGGTGGCATGTTCCTCCCTCCTTCAAAAGACATCAATAAGTCCACTGAAGAATATTATTACACTTCTGAATGGAATGAGGAAGAGAAGCAAAAGGGTTTACATCAGAATAGTCTGAAATTTGCTGAGAATAGCCGTTCAGAAAGAGGTAAGCGTGTGGCCTCGGCCCTCACACCACCAAACACAACTCCAACCCATATCTAGCTTCTCCACTTTCCACACATTCACACCTTTGTCGCATTTATAACCCTTGGACGAAGATCAAACGAACAAAACTTGGTTTAGATAAAATATGAGTCATCTGATCCAAGTCAAACGGTTATTGTTTGATGCGTGAATGTGCTGAAAAGTGAATGCAGGTAATCTGGATCCCATGTTTTAAGGCTGCAAGGTATAACTACTGCAGTAGAAAATGTCAAGAACAACCTTAAGGGAATCTCATGTTGAATAAGTAGTTTTCTTTTTAAAAAAATGCTGAAACAGTAAAATGATTCTTGCGCTTTAGATTTTTGGTGTAGTAGTCTTTCACACATTCCTAGATAGGAGTGGTCTGCTCTTTCTGTGTAAGGATTTGCGTATATACGTGTTATACGCAAGAATGAATCGTTATACCGAAAAAAAAGTGATGTAAAAAATAATTAATAAAGCATATTGTGTTTGAATTTTGTTGTGCAAATGATATATACTCATATTATGAGATGGGCACGTTAAATATTCTGCCTTGTAAAAGAAATAGAGAATAAAAAAGTCACTAATTCATTCTCAATCAAAAAGTCAGCACGGATCTAGATGGTGGGAATTCTTTGATGACGTTTTATTAATTAGTGGAATGGAATCAGCGATTGAATTCATATATTAATTCCTAAACTCCATTATTGAAGATTTGTTTAAGGTAAGTTGCCTAATATCTGACCAACACAATGTGATTTCAATAATTAAAAACATTAACTTGACTTGGGTTCAGTGTGAACTCGGAAGGCTTTGTTCTTTTGAGTGGATTTGAAGAAATGGATTTGAGGGGATTTGAGAGGATTTGGAGATAAACTTTTGTCATTTATTTGAGTGAATTTAGAGGTAAATGAGAGTGAATTTGAAAATAAAATTTGTGAGAATTAATATAGAATTGTATTGACGTGACAAATTAAAAACATTTATTTTCAAATTCACTCTCTTTTACCTCCAAATTCACTCAAATAAACGACAAAAAAATTTATCTTCAAATTCTCTCAAATCCCTTCAAATCCACTCACTCAAATCCACTCAAAAGATCAAGGCCGAAGTGTTGCATCGAACCCTTTTGTAAATTTTATTTGTTAATTACATGGGTAACGTGCTTGCGTCTGCTAACCACTTCTGTCGTATGCTGCGTATATGCTACTTCCTGTTTCATTCAATTCCAACTTCTTCGGACGGCAAATGCTAACCTTTGTGTTTGACAATGTCAAATGCCAGACAAAGTACAAGTAGTGTGATATGTGTCTGTGAGCTATTGTCAGTTTTTGGCCACGCACATAAATTATTAGTATTTTTCATTCCAGTAATGGTACAGAGTCTACAGACACTGAAGAAGCCAACAAGATTGAAGAAATTGTTTATCTGCGTAAGCAGTTTAAACACCAAATTGGCATATTTATTTCTCTTTTTATCATACGAAATTAAATATTTAAATGATGCGTAAAGAAAGAAAAATAGGTATTAATGTAATAAGAAAAGCGAAATAATTAATGAAAATCCATTAGGTGTTTAAAAGAAATAGGTTTTCATATATGATTTCTCATCTTTAAATACTCATACTCTCCATCTTTATTTCTTTCAGTAGATTCACAACTCTCTTTTTCAAGGTTCTGTGTGTACTAAAACCATGTTTTCTTAACCATACATGTTAATACTCTCCCTTGAGATGAAGCATAGATTTTTTATCATGCTACAAATAATCTGAATGGCCATCCATCAATTTGCAAGAGGAGTATATTAATATGCATGTTAGTTCAACTCAAATCCTATTCTATCAAGACCCCACATATGTTAAACTCAAAACCTCTCCAAATCAAGTAAAAACTCACTATACACTTCCATTGAAATGCATATACATAGAATTTTGCTTCATGCAGAATGGATCAAGGAAATCAAAGTGGATGTGAATCACTAATAAGCGTTGAGTTCATTATGTTGCCTCATTCTGAACCGTGACTTCAACAAGAGCATGTGTGTAAACGGTAGTACTGATGAGCTAGCTAGGTTGACAGCATGCAGTTCTAAACTAGTAACTTAGTTTTCCACTGCCACCACAGGTTGAACAGGATCGACCAGAAGAGCATTTTGTACAATAGCTCCACTTCTTTGGAAGCCTGGTATAAGTAATCCACTCGAATGGCTAAACTGAAAAAATAATTATTTGAGGAAAAGAGATGTAAGAAAATAGTACCGATCTGTGAATCGAGTCGCCATATTCTTGGCCGGCACTCTTGCCTGATCAGAACTTTCACCAGAACGTTTCCTAAGAACGAATCCTTCACCATTGCATTCAGAACATATACCAGAACCTCCACAATCTTCACATGCTTTGGATTGAATCTTTAATTTCAAATCAAAAACTTAATTTAGATAAACAGTGCGAAATTCAGCACACGATTTAATCATCGTTTTTTCCTTCTTTACCCCATTTTTCTTTACAAATGCAAAAGTTCGCTTTTGTTAGAACCACTTTACTCCTATAATGGATTGTCAAATAGTAACTATTAGTGTCAAAGAATCTTTTTCCTTATAAAATTGAGTTGGCCCATAAATCAATGAGAGGAAAACACTTACCAAGTTGTCAAGAGATATGAAAGATTAACCCTATTAATGTTGGGTTGTCAACAATAACAATGTAACAAAACACAAGAATAAAATTGAAAGAAAACACTCATTGATCTTGGAAGGTTCTATACACAATAAGTCTAACACAATTTCAGTTATAATATTTAAGTTCATAAAGGTATTCATATATAGAACAGAAAACCGTCAAGACAGCTAAATTTAATAAATCTTTGTCCAAATAAACTGTCTGACGCACCACTTCTAGACTGTCTATTACTACCCTCCATTAGACAGTTTAACCATTTGATAGAGTTCTTCAGCAGATAGTCTGCTACACATAATTTAGAGCTAATCGTCACAATTAATTTTTCCATGAAATTTCTTTAGTGAAACAGAATTAGTGATGTCACATAAGATATGTGAATTCCGCTAGTTCAATCTATACATTACACTAAAACTACAACTGCAACAACCATTGAAAAGTTGAAGTATAGAGAAGCCTTTGTTAATTGTTTGGACAAGCAAGGTTGTTTTTCAGTAGCATGGCATATTGCTGAGTTAGTAAGTACAATTAATCATGTTTCTGATACTATCAATAACGAGGGGTTCTGACCTGTGCTGGTTCAGAAGTTTTGGATCTCTTTACGATAAGAGTAGCTGCTGCACCAACGAAAGTTACAGCTACTGCCATTGAAGCTGCAGTCTCAGCCAGAGCAGAGGAAACGGTGGATATTCTCCTTCTTTGCAGCTGTAACTTAACATCTGTTAAATGAATAAAATGAGAATAGCAAATACAGCTTTCCCTTCGTACTTTGCAACATCAACAGTTTTCATCAGTGAATCTCTTGTTTAGTGACAGACGAGATGGAAGAGCCATCCATATTCTATGCATCAAGTAAATGAGTAATTACTTTTTATCTTTCAGTACTGAATAGGGAGAATTGAATTAAAAGGTTAGTTTCCATTACATCACGGGTGAAAATGTTAGACAGTTGTTAAATACTATTATTCATAAAAAAAAAGAGGGAAGATCCTTGAAAAGAGAAAGTTGTAACATTAACTATTAACAGTAAGATTTATAAATAAGTATCTTGAAGATATCACCAGCAAGCCTTTTTAAGTAAAATATAGTAGTTCAGTTCTCTGTTGGAAGTCAGAATTTTGTTCTATCTTCAATGGTATATTTAAGGTGTATTCCTAACATGTATTTAGTTCTGTGTATTCTTGTTCATCTATCGTAACAAATACTATCAAATTGTGCGTATTAAATTGAATTCAAACAAAAAAATTAAAGAACCCTCAAGCAGCATTGATTGTATTAACAGTTGAAAACAGTATCGTTGTTGATCTGAGAAACGGTGAACGTGAACTACACGGCTATTCCTACCAGAACTAGTTCCTCATCCAATAGGTGTATATTCACTCAGACACACCATCTTCAATCCACACCAAATTTAACTACTTGTTTTATTATGTTTGAGATACGACATAAATAAAGAAACGAGAAAGTACAAGAAGGATTGATGAAGAACAATAAATATATTTGTTTAGGAAAGTAAGAAGAAAGCATCTTACTATGAGAGTGAGTGTGAGAGAAGCAAGGAAGTGATACAGAGGTAGCCATTCTGTTATGTTTTGTTCGGTTCTGTTCTGTCCACCCACCCTTCCTTTCTCTGCCGCTCTCTTATCATCTTCTCTCCCACAATTTCCAAAAATATATTTCTTTTAACATTATTGTATACCAAAATACAGGTAGGTTAGATTTTAACATGTTTTCTCTCTCTCTCTCTCTCTCTCTCTCTCTCTCTCTCTCTCTCTCTCTCTCTCTCTCTCTCTCTCTCTCTCTCTCTCTCTCTCTCTATATATATATATATATATATATATATATATATATATATATATTATATATATATATATATATATATATATATTATATATAATATGTATTTTTTTATATTTTGGCTTCTTTAGACATATCTTTTTAAAATAGTCTTTGTAATTTATTTTTTTAATTTTTAGTTTAATTATATTTTTTATTTTCGTATTTGTTTAGTTGTTTGATTTCGTTTTTTATTTATTTTTTATTTAATTTAGTTTTTTATTTTATTTTTTTAATGGTTTATTTTCATTAAGTTTAAATTGTGTTCTTACATATGTAATGTGTTAATTTGTAAAAATTTATTTTTTTAAATTTTTTATTTTTTAAAAAATAGAATAAATCATCACATGTCAATTTATCGTGTCACAGAGAGTGATTATTTTTAATTTAGTTTTTATATTTAAAATTTTAATTCAATGTAATACTTATTTCTTAAAATGATCTATTTCTAATTTAAAACCAAATTAATAATTAAATTTAATTATAATTTATATATAGATGTTAAAATATATTGTTTTTTAAATTTGAAAGAATATAAATTATATTTTCCTTATGATCAGACATATAACTCTCGCATGTAAAAAGACTTAGATTAAGATTTTGGTAAGATAAAAGATACCTAAACTTGTTTTTTCTCTGAATTGGTAAAATATAAACAAGAAACAAACATAAAATGTTTCGAAATTTTTGAAAAAATTTAGATACAATCGAGATGGTCATTTAAGAAAAAAATATTATATTTTCTATTTATATTCTAGTAAACTTAATTTAATTGAAATATTCTTTCTTCATAATCTTCCCACCTTTTAAATTAAAAACTTTTATCGATAAATATTAATTATTAATATTTTGTTAATAAAAAAAATAAATTTATAAAATCCTTTTTCCTTTTTTCTAAACTTATCAAATTTATCTTTTATCTCCGAAATGTTAATAAGAGAATTAAACCACAACTTCTTCATATTTTTTCTTTCATTTTAAGTTAAATCACTTTATCAATCCTTTCAGGTAGTCCATTAATAAGTACCATTATCATTTAATAGGAGACTAAGTTTAAATAAACATTAAGATTTTGGTCTTACATTGTAGTAAAAAAATGTAAGCAATATTTATGTTTTTTCATAACGATAAGTAAAATGAAGTTTTTATACTTAATATTGCTTTAAAACAAAATATACTCAATAACTCATTTTTCTATTATTACTTTTCTTAAAGTTATATAATATATACAAAGTTATTTGAACATGTATTTTATTTCGACGAATACATTAACTAGTGTGTGTGAATACTTACATCTAATAATTTAGTTTTTGTTACGAAGATAAACAAATTCCAAGCACTTTAAAATAACAGTCGTATATGTCACATGTGTGTCAGAAAACGCATTCAGGTTGAACGCTGCAACTCATGAACATTTCGAATACTCATAAATAATAACTCTATTTTACAAATTTTTTCAATTTATTGTAACGCAAATAAGTATATCATAATAATAAGAAAAAATATAATTTTTTTCAACATTTTAATTCTTGATATTTTCTTTCGAGATTTATACAGTTCTAACTCGCATGAATTTATTTTTTTCTTATACTATATTGTGTCCTAAAAAATTTAAATATTCAGCAATATTCTTGTTTGAATTGTGTCATACCCGTGTCTAATGTAGCTTCAACTTGTGACGTGCTTCCCGTGAGCAAACTAATTATGGCGGTGTCTTCGGAAAAATTAATGTATAGTTTCTTAGCATTATGATTTCGTAGTCCAATGTTTAAATGAACTAACCGAGTTTTCTAATTTACTGAAAGATAAATAAAACTTGACTGCATATTTTGTTGAATTGATTAAAAAAAAACATAACCATGTGTTAAGAGTCGAGTGTGAAAACGATGTCGGTCTCTTTTTCAACGTTTTGTTGATGAATGTGAATCATAAATGATAGAGTTTGCACATTTTATGATCTTTTACTGTGGGTGGTTCAGCTATGCGTGAGGTTTTCAAAGACTTGTTACAGATTCTCCTGCTTCTATTCCAGATTAGTTTTGTGTAATTATTAGTGTCAGTGAAAAATGGTTGATTTTGATCCGAAAACCACTTTACATATCTGGGGGGGAGTGTGTGAGAAAGTAAGAAGAATTCATGTGTGAAGGAAATATAGTGGGCCCGATTCTGAGATACGAAGCTACGTGTTGGGTGAGAGTAGCTATGGGGAGTGTCAGTAGTTAAACTGCACTAAGAAGCCCATGTCTATTAAATTTCAGACCCAACTTAACCAATTGTTCCCAGATTGCATAAACTTTGAAAAAAGATGAGGGGAAACAAAAGATTTCCGGGGTGGGGTTCATGTTCTTTTGCTTCTCTTTAAACATCACAAGATTTACATGTCCCCTTGTACTTGTTGAATCATTTCAATTAATAGGGCAATGGATATTCACATAAAAACACTAAAAGTTGCAATTTTTATCTTCAATTTATGCAAAGTTAAGATTTTTATTTTACCATGATTTGTCTAACCTTGAGGTGAAGAGTTAAATGTGTTATTTATTAAGAGGGTTTTTTTGGAATGTGTGAATGGGGGAAAATCTAGCATTAGGAAAGAGATTGATGAGGATGATTAGGTGGCCAACCAATATAATGGGAAGTAAAGAGTATATATAGTGATAGAGATGATACAGATGTTGTTAATTAATCCACTTAAATTCTTACACTGACTCATCAACACACTCATAATTGTGCTATTATGTTACCTACAATCTTCTTTAAATGGTTCCCCAATTGGTTGGCAAAATCTCAATTATTTTTCACCAGGTGACTTCCTGCAACACTTTTTTCTTCACTTTAATAAAGAGAAAACAGTGTTATTGTGAGACATATGCTAACTAATATTGTGAACAAAAAGAAGATATTACTTGGATTTAGGGGCAAAAAACAGCACAAATTTGAGTGAGTGCAATAAACATGAACTCACGAGCATCCTCACTCGAAACACAGAAAAAAAAGAACACCAACCTCGCCAACTCACCTCCACCACACCTCCAAAGTTATGGTGTACCACCAATGAGCTGTGCATACCTGCATTCTGTAGCTATTCACGAGCCTATTTAAGACACTCGGTTTAACCACTGCATAACAATCTACCATAAAACCCCTTCTTTCTTTCACAGACTCAGACCAAAAACACAAGTTCGAAAAATATCTAGATGTCTCCCACTACACATATCTCCCTTCTTGCCCTTCTCCTCATCCTTTCTCTGGATTCCCTTCACATCGCCATGGCTGCAAGGGTCATTCCTCGAAGTGCTCCCAGTACAGTTACAAGGCCTCTCTTTTTATCCGAAGCTGAAACTTATCTGAAGCCACGTCTCGGTCACAAACACAGTGTCTTCCGTGAGGGACAGGTAAAGAATTGCTTGCCAAAAGGGTATAGGCATAACTCGGCTCCGAGCAGATTCGTCAACTATGACACTCTTGGTTCTAGTGGCTGTTCTGGAATGCGATTGGAGAAGCCACGAGGATGAGGATGAGGATGATGATGTCGTGGTCAATGGGGAAGACTTTCGTTTCAGGTGTTTGTAAATGGTCGGAAGATGAGAAGATTGTGTCGCTTTGCTTTGCATTTTGTGATTGATATTTGTTGCAATTTTGAGGGATGTGCATAGGTAAGGTGAAAATGTTAGTATTCTTTTCTTGTTTTGTATAGGTCAATGTTTAAAACATTGACAGAACATGAGAAACAGAGAAGATGTTTTTGTTTTTACCAAGCCGTCAGCATATTTGCCATGCATGTAATAACGCCAAAGGAACATTATATACCATGTACCACCCCAATAGGGTGATGTGATATTATACTATGTAATGTTTTGCATGTTATCGTGAAGTACAATATATTAAGTGTGATTGGCGCATTGGCTTACAATTTTTCAGTTTGTGTAAGGAGTAAAAGATTAAATTGAAGTTATTATAATTAAATAAGTTAATAAAAATTTCTTAGATTCAATTTTCTAAGTAAAAGATTGTTTGTTTGGAAAAAGAAATAGAGAACAGTCTTACTTTTCCAAGTTTATCTAAAGCACCTTCTAATTGGAAGAAAAAAGAAATATAAAAATGGGCACATATATTATACGTTCCAAAATACGATTTTATTCAGAGATGTATATTAAGTTTTAATTTCCCATAAAAAAAAAGTTGTGTTTTTGTTTATCTTTTTTATTTTTAAATGCTCTACTTTTATTCCTCTTAGCATATTATGTAAACCACTTTTTTCCTTTTTAAAACATTATTTAAATCACTTTGAGATTTAAAAATAAAACATTTTGAAATTAAAAGACTAAAAATGACTAAATAATATTAAAAATTAAAACTAAATTTACCTGTTTTAAAAATAAATAAATAAATAAAACATTTATTCTTTCTAAGTACTATATTGAGCACACTGAGCATAGGGTAGGGCAAACTAATGTCATTATTAGCTTATGTACATTTGATGTCAAGACAAAGCAAATCAATATGCAATCTTTTCTTTAAGCCTGTAATAGTAAAGCATAAACAATTATAACCATATTAGTACCAATTGCAAAAAGATATCCTAATTATTTGTCAAATTATTTTCCTGAGTTTTAATATTTTAACACTTATATACTTTATGATTTAACCATCAACGTTTTCAAATGAATATTAGGTGAATAAAAGTTAACATTTCTACAACTACTTATTTTTTATTGAACGGTTAATTCAAATAGCTAATCATTTTTCGGTCAAACACCAATTAGGTGATCATATTACAAATTAAATACATTTATCAATTTTTAGATCATGATTTACACATTATAAATGATCACATTTAAATTAA